ATATTCCCGAAAGTACCTTAGTATTCCGACACATAACATGAACAATGCTTTTGGGGGATATGGCTGGCCATCTTTCTGCGAGCTTCCACAACAAATTTACCTCTAGCTAGGCCTACTTGCTAAAAAGTGCAGGTTCGGTTAAAAATTTAATTTCACGTACGGAACCTAACTGATACATGCGCAGATAGGTAGGCTATTCTTTAAAAGTTTTCACACTCCAATTTGTAATTTTTCTTGTGTTTTTACTCTCGGTAGACTTTAGAAGGGTTTCCATATCATAGTAAAACTTCCCACATCGATCGTCAGAACGGTCCAATGCTGGATAACATTCTCGGGTGTAACCGGTTCTTGGGTCAAATGAAAATCCGCTTGAGTAAGAGATAAATCCCCAATACATCAAACACGTTTACTTCGTCCTCTTTAAACTGGTCCATCTTTGAGCGGGTTTTATCATCGATAGAATTGTACCACTCAAATTTTTGCGGCAGTTCAAGAAAATTAATATCCATACTCATTGATTCACGTTAGTTTCGCTTCTTCTCTGCGAGTGCGCAAAATGTTGAATGAAATCTAATAAGCATGAACAATGTATATAGCACGTGCTACTATAACTATGTCAGGTGACAAACCATATAAGGAAATGTTTTTGGAACTTGTACATCATCTCCCTACCATATTAGGAAATTTTAGAGTGATATGGTACATGTGATTTACCGTATAAGTTTTTAAATGGTTTTCTCCAGATATCCTATAGGGTATCTGGAGAAAACCAATAAAAACTTATACGGTAACTACTACATAGTGATCATACTCTATAATTCAAACTGCACTTAATGTAACAGAATATATTCAACTAATTATATATTGACAGTGTGACTGTAAGGGTGAAGGCAGATACTTATTTAGTTTTAATTTAGATTGTGCTTGTCAAGCCGCATTTGACATTTGGTGCATCCATGCTCAGTGTTCACACTGAGAATTTATTCAAATGTTTAATTCAAATGAATTCACTGCTCGTTAAATTACTTCCCATTAGCTCCATGTGAACATGACTAAGGATAGCTAATTCAAATAAAATAGAAATTAATTTTGAATGTAGTTTAAACATTTTAAAGAAGCTAAGCACTGTTGGTCCAAAGTATATTGCGGAAAAATTGTGTGGAGCAATGTGCAAGTCACAATCTTCTTTTGCCAAGGTCTTATCATAAGAGCTCGCATTATTGGCAGGGATTTGTGCTGCTGTCTGGACTCGCTATAAATAGATGTTCTAAAAAAGTCTAAATTATTTAATAGCATACTTTACGGACAAAAAAGGACAAATATTGCTCAGTTAAATTGCAAAAGAAATTTGTTTAAATAAATTGTAATAATAGAAAGTTTGCTTTTTTGTTTGATAAGACTGCTGTAATCATGGTAATGGTTTAATGTTTGTTTATTTGCCTTAATCATACATTTTTCAGTCATTTCATGGTGCCACCACTTGGGATGGTATTAGCTGCAAATATAGACTTGTACTCAGCACTTATTGCCTTTAAGAAGTATGAGATCCATTTTGTGCTAACACCTACCGTGACACAGAATCTTGGTTTATGCAGTCTCATAGGAGTAACCTGTCTAAAGCATTAGCAATGGGATTGCAACCTGAGACGTAAGGTTCAGTTTCTTATTGATACTTTGATTATAATATTTATTTGAGAATTTCACTCATTCACATACTTAGAGATGTTGATATATATTGTTGAATAGAATCAATTTAGACCTTTACTTAGCTAAGTAAACATGTACTGTGAGGTTTTTAAGGTCTCATTCATTTTATATGCCAGATGCATGTTAAGGAACATTACTGCATATATGTTTTTGTCTTACATTTGAAGCTCTTTACTAATATAAAGATATGTTAGTATTAAACCTCTTCAAATTAGGGTAAACCTTTACTTTAAACTCTGCAATGTGAGTGTGTTGTGTGAATTTGTGTTAGCGAGACAGTGTGTTGTATAAATTTGTGTTAGCAAGGTAGTGTGTTTTGTGATCTTAATTATGTTAGCCTGACAGTGGGTTGTGTGAATTCTTGTTAGCTTGACGATGTGTGGCATAAACTTGTGTTAGCGGGGCATCGTGTTGTGTGAAATCGTGTATAAAGTGTAAGTGTGACAGTGTGTTGTGTAAACTCATGTTAGTAACACTGCTTGAAAAAACACCTTTACAAAACTTTACTTGCAAAGTAAATTTCATTATAGGTGCTCCAAAAAGCAAGGTCATCTTTGTATTAACTTTACAAAAAGTAAAGGTGAAAAGGTAACCTTTACTTGCACGAAAAGATATATTAAATAAATCCTTTCACCTTTAATGCCATATTAAAGTTCATTAAATATACATATTTTATAAAAGTCTTATTTAAATGCTGGATATTGTCTAATACACTTTACTTTGGATTTTCATTTTGTTTAAAAAAAAATCTAATCTAGTCAGTACCCAAAATCTTAAGAAAAACGTCAAATATTTTTTTTTAAATTATCTCTAATCCATTTCCAGTTGAAATTAGTATTAGAAATGGTCATCTACAGAATCAAACACTCGACTCATCATTATTTGACAGACTACACCTCAAATAATACAACACCTATGCTGTAAGCCAGGTTAGCTTAGTTGGAGCAGCTGGCGTTCATTTTGATAAATGTAACAATACATAAATATTTAACATACAGTACATTGAATGTGAAACAATAAAGCACTGCAATGCATTTGTAAAATATTTTACATTTAATAAATTGTACCCCTATCACTGACATTAAAAACCGCCCAGGCAAAAACCATAGATGGTTTACTATGGAAAACCTGTGTCTGTCGCTATGTAAATAATGTCTCAAGGGAGAATGCCGGACGTGCATTCGGTGCAATAGTTAAAAATGCAGGACCATCCTATAAGATTTGCAAGTATGAAAAAATCCAAATTAAAATACATTTCAACAGTTTTGTTATTTCCATTACCACTATATTTAAACAAATATGATATATAGATTATATATAAAGCAAAAAAAAAACCTGTGTTTATTGAAGAGCACTCGCTTAGAATGATTTGAACACCTTACTGAATACTCATTTCTCATTGGCCTACCTTTGGCCAAGCCCACATATACAACCAAAACAATTAATATTGGTTCCTCACATACAATGTGTTCCCGCTATACTACAAAACACTGGAAAAAATATTATCTGCACAAGGATCTCTGAATTGGATGGCATGGATCTTTAATATGTACATTGATATTAATGATAGAGTAATTAATTATAAAACAATGGGAAAAATTGGCATATTGATAATTTTCATTTTCCAAACAAAAATGATCTTAAATATTCTGCATTTTTGCTTCTCATCATATGATGAGTCAGATATGCAGCACAAACAATATCCAGTTATAACTTTGAATATAAACATTATATTGAGCTATCTTTGTCTTTTGTTTTCCTTTAAACATTCAGATACATGTGAGAAAAAAATTGGAAAAAAAATCGAATGATAAGTATAAAGGATGACTGCACTTAACGCCGGTTTTTGGGTCTTTTTCGATCTCTGTTGTTAGATTTATTTTTGTTTTTATTTTTGTCTCAAGTCATTTATTATAGAGTTTGGTCTATTTCCAAATGAAATGCAATGTCATAAATGTTATAAACCGCGTTGCAATGAAATAATTCGTTGTTTCCTTGCCCCACCTCTCTGCAAATATTGGGAAATTAGACTTATCTGCTCTTGATTGAAGATAAGATTTATAAATATGCATAAGAGGTGGAGCTAATATTGTGATGAGCTATTGGTCTAAAATTAGAATAGCTACTGTATTTATATTTGGTGCATTCTCTCTCTCTCTCTCTCTCTCTCTCTCGTTATATGTTTGTCACTATTATTTTTTAAGTTTTCAAATAAAGTATATATAATTAATAACAAATAACATCGATCGGTAGAAGTAGCCATTCTCATTGATAATCAACAGCAATGGCCGATGTCAACTATTCGCGTGTTCGAATATAAGTGCCGACTAGCTCAGTCGGTAATGCACAGAATCAATAATATTGAGGTCCGGGATCGAGACCCGATCACAACAGTAAGACTGACTTTCTTTTTTCCCTTTTATAAAAAAAGAAAGAAAAACATAACAATTACTCAAGTGTTTTTTGGTTTCTTTTATAATTACTTTTTACAATAAATTAGCGTGCTGAGGATGGTATGATTTCAATTTTATTTACTGGATCTTACTTTCGATGTTCATGTTAAGCAATGATTAAAAACATAATAAATAAATCTCTTTTTTCTTGCAGACTACATACATGTAGAGACATGCATTCAAAAATATATAAGGATAGTAAAATGAAACGCTTTTGAGATAAATATAACAATAATCTCATTGATATCTAAGAGAAAAAAGAATATCCCGTGGCTCGATGGGAATGGATTGAAACAGATACGAACAATCACTATCGGCAAGCAGAATGCGTGTTTCCTTACACGTCACTTGATGGAATTTTAGTATTCACAGAGTTACCTGGGTATAGAAATCACGTGGTTTATTATAATATTCAACAGGTAACAACGTGGTCAAAATGGCCAGTATACTATAGAGAAAGTGAACACAGAAGAAACAGTTTTTTCTCTTTTTAACCATCAGCGCATGTTTGTCTATTGATCTCCTTTTAATATGAGGTAATATATATAAATATACAACTACCATAAAAAGGAGATCAATAGACAAACATGCGCTGACTATGTATTAAGCCTGTAAAAAGATGGGCGTACTCATTATCCTATGGAGATTCCAGAATATGCGATGACCCCTCCCTATAAAAACGACTTCGAACTTCGTTAATACGAACTTTTAATTAACGTAATTTCACAAAGTTGCAGTTAGGACATTGACCATTTCTGCCATTGAAAGAGAAATGCCCGTTTTCAAAATTAATTATGTCGCATTTTTTAAGTTTCCTTAAGTGCAGTCATCCTTTCACATTTCTGCTTTTGAAATGGAGGTCTCATTTCACTTAAAATATAATACCGGTACATTATTTAATCTTAATGGTGCATGTACATTTTTAAAATAAACTTTGCAGTTTAAATAGAATGTGGAAAAAAATTACATGAAAGGCTATTTGATTTGCACTTTTATACAGGTTAATAACATCTTCAACTTGTAATGCAAAATGATGCATTTTACATATTCACAAACTCAAAAAATGGTGAAAAATCTAATAGAATATATGCAAGGATGCAGTTTGAAAAATGCATGAGATCATGTACGAGTCCAGCTTCACCCCGTGAGCCTGTCTGTGCTTGATTAAGTTTAAATTATGTTTTTATGTCTGTGGTAAATGTTAGTGTGTTTGCATATATGTCCAGCTTCACATATTTTCATGTATGTGCTCGGCTTCACACGCTTTGGAAAATATGTAATAGGTTGTGGCAGATGCATGTGTATTTGCGTATGTGTCCAGCTTCACACACTTTCATGTTTGTGCTCGACTTCACACACCTTGGAAAATATGTAATAGGTTGTGGCAGATGCATGTGTATTTGTGTATGTGTCCAGATTCACACATTTTCATGTATGTGCTCGACTTCACACACCTTGGAAAATATGTAATAGGTTGTGGCAGATGCATGTGTATTTGTGTATGTGTCCAGCTTCACACATTTTCATGTATGTGCTCGACTTCACACACCTTGGAAAATATGTAATAGGTTGTGGCAGATGTATGTTTGCATATGTAATGTATCCAGCTATACGCGTACACTTTTTCATGTGTGTGCTCGATTTACACGTCAACATAATAAATGTTAAATATGTAATCATGGTGGTGTAAAAGGTTTACAAGTGTATGATCATGATGCACAAAGAGAAAAAAAAGTTCTGTGTTTTTTGTTTTGCAAATCTACATATAAATAAACTAAAATTATGTCCTGTTGAGAAACTGACAATCATAATAAGTAACATATTCATTTTACATAACGGTACTGAAAATTACACATCCAGTTTAAATTACTGTACTGAAAATTGAATTTGTGCAAAAACTCTCTGGCTGCTTGCATGTTCATCTATAAATCTCCAAGATATTTCCTAGTTAGCCTGTAGCGCCCCATCGGACAGTCTTACAACACATTTCATAATCTCAGTTTGCATTTATAAATCAATTTATCCTTGTTCCTCATGTCTTGAAAAATAGATGCTGAAATTCTAGTCTACAGTTTATTTACACAGCACATCACAAATAGAAACATTCAGGAAAAATGAATCACAAAAAATAAAATCCAAGTAAAATATTCACATGTACATATAAATCCGAGAAATATAAGGTAATATTCCAAGTAAGTATTTAGCTTTATCTATCTCTAACATTTCTATCTACTAAGTCTTCTATATTTCAATCTTCCTATCTTATTTTAAAATTCTGTCGCACTATAGATATACTCAAGATCTGTTCCTGATGATCAGGAGAACATTATAAGATCCTTAAGATCAAGAGTCAATACACAGGTCATTAGGATCAGCAGGGAGTTATATATAAAGAAGGGGCAATTTATATACAAATAAGATTATAATGTGTTAACAATTAAGTAATGAAGAGTTATATTACAGATAAGATATTCTAAATCGCTACAAGTTTACAAATTCTTGATCATTGATAACAGTATATATTCTTGACAACTGTATTGAATTCCCCTCTCTGACATCTTTTCGTGTTCACCAATTAGTTCAACAGTCATCTGGGTACTCAGGTGTTGTACAAGTCCTAAAAAATCATTTTCAAAATTATAAAAAAAAACAATACAATTTTTAGATAGGTTTTCATTATTACTTCTATTGAAATTAAAGCACAAGCTTTTGAATGCATACTTAAGTAACTTAAAACATATATAACTATACATAATGGAAATTTAGACAAAGCAACTCAATGTCAAACATATGTAACATCTGTAATATCCATGAAACTTACTGAGATACTTAAAATGTTTGTGGTGTGCTTTCACTAAGCTAAGCAATATATAAACATTTCTTGATTACGGTTGAAGTCCAGTTCTCGACTGACTTGCACATTCATATTGATTAGTTCTATGTTGATAATCTCTTTCAACAATTTTCATCACAACATCTGAAAGTAATCTACCTTCAAAATTAAATCTGACGCTCACCTCAGGTGCATACAGACTCCCTGTACAAATGCATGGAAAATGAAATTTTGAATAAAAAATGAATTATCTCTTCACAATACCTGGCCTTTTTAAAAAATGTGAGGAAATAATTTAAATATATTCTTTACATATAATCATTAAGTGAGTATCCAACAATGTTGAAAAAAAGCCATCTCTAGAATTTTACATTTATATTGAATGAAAAATGCATTGTTCCCTCTAGTTAAAAAAAACTCAAAAGACATTACCTAAAATGGAATGAGGTACAACTGTGACTGGTGTATCAGGCATGACCAATAAACACAACACCTTTCCATCCTTAGCAGCATGCATTAGCTCCACATTCCTTGCTTCTACAAAAATATACAATGAAAATTTTAAAAATGAGAGAGAAGAGTGTTACATGTACTTGGGGGAACAGAGGAAGGAATTTTGAAGTCAGATTGATTATATTTTTGCCAGTGTTGGGACGGATAAATTTCCATAATAAAATGAAACGAATTATTTGCAACAAAAAAGACACATGTATTACCTTGCAGTCACCGTCGCACATAATGTACATACAACTGACAACATCCCAAAGCTCTTTCTTTGTTTACTTGGCGAAATTTTCTTTGCATTCTAGACTGGTTCTCTGCTCTGGTTCCCATACATTGCCGTGAATAAGTCCTACGTTTATTGGTTTTGTTTACAAGCTTCAACATCAATTAAATCTCCAGCACATTTACAGTCTGTTTCGTAAACTACACTGAAAAAAATACTTAACACACCGTTGGCAGCTCAGTATTATGTAATACTCTTCATTCAAGTAATATGTAAATCTTCTCGAATGTTTAAATTGAGTAAATCTTCAGTGTGAGAGAATATATAGCGTTTATTCCGTTATTTGCTTTCTTTCCTTGCATTATGAAATAATTTTTTTCAAGTTTCTCTCTATACTACGAAAGCCGGATAGGCTCATTTCTGAAAAGATGAAAAAAAATATTTACTCGTTATAACGAGTTAATTTTCTCGTTATAACGAGTTAATTTTCTCGTTATAACGACTTAGTTATCTCGTTATAACGAGTTTAGTTCATGTATCTGAGGTCAATATCTGTCTTCCTGGGTCATTATAAATGCATATTGACCGTGCATTGAGTCCATATTTATTATATTATATAAATAATAATTTCCTATTTTTTTAGTACAATGTATATTTTCCTTATGTTTACAGAGATAGTATTAACCATAAATAAGTTGAATGTAAATGTTTAAGAATTCATTGAATATCACTCAGAAGAAATTGTTTCGGTAATAAATTTTAACCAATATCAGAGAGGTTGAGATTTCAAACGTGTACGTGTACGGGTACGTCTAATAGGGGAATAACCAAAATTCTGTGTGTATTACGTCATCAATTTAAGTGACGACAAAATTGCTACACGTTCGTAAAACTTGTAGAATAGAATCTACACGTAGGTGAAAACGTGTAGCTTTAAAAATAAAAATTAGCCAATTTAAGTGTGAAAATGTGATTGTTATACATTATATAGGATGTTTACTTACACCAGCACTTATTTTTATCAAGTTTTGATTACAAACTGACGACAAAAAAATTTCTAGATAGTTGAAACAGAGACACCAATCGCAGTGTACATGTACATGTTACACGTCATAAAAATCTCAACAGACACATTAAAAATAACGTGTACGTGTACGTCAAAATTTCTACAAGTACACTTACGCGTACAAGTTTAAGATCTCAACCTCTCTATAACGCAATATACCGGTATCTATCTCCGAATAACACAGAATACCCCCTCCCCCAGATTGAGAATCGCAGTCGTTTACACTTGCAGAGGAAATGCACTCACAAAATATAAATTACCTATGTCTTCTAAAATACCGGTAAGATACAATCTTACATGACATGATTGTCTTTATTTTCTTTAGTCTCCGTAATCGCGTACACAGCGTCAAAACTCTAACTAAGTCGTTATAACGAGATACTAACTCGTTATAACGAGAAAACTAACTCGTTATAACGAGATAATTAACTCGTTATAACGAGTTAATTTTTTTTTTTTATCTTCTCAGAAATGAGCCTATCCGGCTTTCGTACTATACAATATAACGGAATAAGCTGCATTTTCATGAATAATTTCATTAATTTATCAGGGAATTCATTTCATACCGAATGAATTTTAGTTTTAATCAAACTGAGTAAATCTTTAGTGTGAGAGAATATATAGCGTTTATTCCGTTATTTGCTTTCTTTCCTTGCATTAGGAAATGATTTTTTTCAAGTAACTCTCTATACAATATAACGGAATAAACTGCATTTTCATGAATAATTTCATTAATTTATCAGGGAATTCATTTCATACCGAATGAATTTCAGTTTTAACCAGACTGAGTAAATCTTTAGTGTGAGAGAATATATAGCGTTTATTCCGTTATTTGCTTCATTTCTTTTGCATTAGGAAATGAATTTTCTCAAGTTACTCCTTAAATAATATGACGGAATAAACTCTAATTTAACGAAAAATTTAATAAATTTTCTTCAATTTATAAGGGAATAAAGTTTTCATGCTTGTTTTATTACGGAATAAACCAGAACTTTCATGTTTTATGTATTGTATGTTTAAACGTTAATTAAATTAAAACTTTGTAGATTAATCATGAATGAATCATAATATAAAAATACTTTACACACCGTTGGCAGCTCAGTATTATGTAATACTCTTCATTCAAGTAATATGTAAATCTTCTCGAATGTTTAAATTGAGTAAATCTTCAGTGTGAGAGAATATATAGCGTTTATTCCGTTATTTGCTTTCTTTCCTTGCATTATGAAATAATTTTTTTCAAGTTTCTCTCTATACTACGAAAGCCGGATAGGCTCATTTCTGAAAAGATGAAAAAAAATATTTACTCGTTATAACGAGTTAATTTTCTCGTTATAACGAGTTAATTTTCTCGTTATAACGACTTAGTTATCTCGTTATAACGAGTTTAGTTCATGTATCTGAGGTCAATATCTGTCTTCCTGGGTCATTATAAATGCATATTGACCGTGCATTGAGTCCATATTTATTATATTATATAAATAATAATTTCCTATTTTTTTAGTACAATGTATATTTTCCTTATGTTTACAGAGATAGTATTAACCATAAATAAGTTGAATGTAAATGTTTAAGAATTCATTGAATATCACTCAGAAGAAATTGTTTCGGTAATAAATTTTAACCAATATCAGAGAGGTTGAGATTTCAAACGTGTACGTGTACGGGTACGTCTAATAGGGGAATAACCAAAATTCTGTGTGTATTACGTCATCAATTTAAGTGACGTCAAAATTGCTACACGTTCGTAAAACTTGTAGAATAGAATCTACACGTAGGTGAAAACGTGTAGCTTTAAAAATAAAAATTAGCCAATTTAAGTGTGAAAATGTGATTGTTATACATTATATAGGATGTTTACTTACACCAGCACTTATTTTTATCAAGTTTTGATTACAAACTGACGACAAAAAAAATTCTAGATAGTTGAAACAGAGACACCAATCGCAGTGTACATGTACATGTTACACGTCATAAAAATCTCAACAGACACATTAAAAATAACGTGTACGTGTACGTCAAAATTTCTACAAGTACACGTACGCGTACAAGTTTAAGATCTCAACCTCTCTATAACGCAATATACCGGTATCTATCTCCGAATAACACAGAATACCCCCTCCCCCAGATTGAGAATCGCAGTCGTTTACACTTGCAGAGGAAATGCACTCACAAAATATAAATTACCTATGTCTTCTAAAATACCGGTAAGATACAATCTTACATGACATGATTGTCTTTATTTTCTTTAGTCTCCGTAATCGCGTACACAGCGTCAAAACTCTAACTAAGTCGTTATAACGAGATACTAACTCGTTATAACGAGAAAACTAACTCGTTATAACGAGATAATTAACTCGTTATAACGAGTTAAATTTTTTTTTATCTTCTCAGAAATGAGCCTATCCGGCTTTCGTACTATACAATATAACGGAATAAGCTGCATTTTCATGAATAATTTCATTAATTTATCAGGGAATTCATTTCATACCGAATGAATTTTAGTTTTAATCAAACTGAGTAAATCTTTAGTGTGAGAGAATATATAGCGTTTATTCCGTTATTTGCTTTCTTTCCTTGCATTAGAAAATGATTTTTTTCAAGTAACTCTCTATACAATATAACGCAATATAACGGAATAAACTGCATTTTCATGAATAATTTCATTAATTTATCAGGGAATTCATTTCATACCGAATGAATTTCATTTTTAATCAGACTGAGTAAATCTTTAGTGTGAGAGAATATATAGCGTTTATTCCGTTATTTGCTTCATTTCTTTTGCATTAGGAAATAAATTTTCTCAAGTTACTCCTTAAATAATATGACGGAATAAACTCTAATTTCACGAAAAATTTAATAAATTTTCTTCAATTTATAAGGGAATAAAGTTTTCATGCTTGTTTTATTACGGAATAAACCAGAACTTTCATGTTTTATGTATTGTATGTTTAAACGTTAATTAAATTAAAACTTTGTAGATTAATCATGAATGAATCATAATGTTTCCATGCCACTACATATACAATTATGATTTCTTTTAGGCAATTGCAAGATAGTCGTGCATTTACAGTGACATGAATATTTATGTGAATTTACAATACATCACATCTGACCATTTTCAGTACATGTATTAATCATTGCCTTTTTGTATCATGTTATTCTGAATGCAATTATTCAGTAAACACTTCGTTTCCCAAATATACTTTCAGAAAAATATATAAATAGTGGAAATCCGATAAAAGTTGCCTCTCTGTAATAAATTAAAACGGAATAAATCTATCACTGCATCTATACCCTTTTGAGAAGTTGCAATTTTCAGCAAGGATAGCAGTAAAATTAAGCATTTTATTTCGGTATATTCCCGTCAGAAAGGCTAATTTATAAATTATATATATATAACTTTCATGGAAATTGTCACACTATATATATTGTGATTTGCACCCTTTCGGAACGATTTAAGCTTGATGAATTAAATGTCGTCTCTCTATATATACTCCTGTTATTTGCACCGCGGTGCAAGTTAGTTTTGAAGGTAGAAATTGCTTAAATGACATTTTTAAATGATTCCACCCAAAAATCTCCAAGCCCCATTTTTTTCTGATATTAGCCCCCAAAGAAACCCTTTTCCCGGGAATTCTTCCCTTTCTGAACGATTTAAGCTTGATGAATTAAATGTCGTCTCTCTATATATACTCCTGTTATTTGCACCGCGGTGCAAATTAGTTTTGAAGGTAGAAATTGCTAAAATGACATTCTTAGAATGATTCCCCCCCAAAAAATTCAAAGCACCATTTTTTTTTTTATTTTAGCCCCAAAAGAAACCCTTTTCCCGGGAATTCTTTCCTTTCAGACGAAAGGTGCAAATTAGTTTTGAAGGTAGAAATTGCTAAAATGACATTTTTAGAAT